CAGGTGCCCTACTAGTAGTAACAAGAAGCTATTAGAAACAATAAGCTGCTGGTAAGCAAGTGCATCGCTACTAGTAACAGGTGCCTTACTAGTAGTCACAGGAAGCTATTAGTTTAATGTAGCAGCATGTGTATGCTGGCCTTGTTGAGATCCCGAAGATCGAACATTTTAACCACGTCCTTTTTTCCGGCGAAACAGGATTTGGAGTCCAGCTCATGCCTTTTGCTTTCGTCATTGTCGCTGCCAAAAATTGGATTTTGCTTTTTGGGTTGCTTTTTGATGTCGCACTTTTCCTCACCAATATTGGAGTGTGAGTGTGCATTTTCACTGATGTTGTGGTTTGCTCTGCTTTTTGTTGTGCACTTGGTGTGCTCCAGGCATTTTTTCCTCACAGGTTGTGATTTCACGCCATGCGGCAAGCCTTTTGCCAGTGGTGGATGGGGGCAACGGTTGCTGTGGTCTTGGGGCAGATTCAATCCTTTTCAGCTAGGTCCGTATCAGACCATATCAGCCAAGTACTCCTTTTCAGCTTCGTACTATCAAAGAAACAAATCATGCAATAGTTACAATGGTTGCAACTGCACATTTTATGTACAATTCGCATGCGGGCGCTTATAGAAGACCATCTCCCGGTGCCCTTCAATCAGAAGTAGCATAGCACATGTTAGGACATAGACTTGAACAAGGGCATTCAATGGTAAAGCTTCCACGAGCCTGCAGGCAACCTGTTTTTTTATTGTTTTAGTCAACCGTCATGACATGGCAGAAGTGAGAGATAAGACCGAGAGGATGTTCTGCCCCACCTGCATTGGCACGAATACCTACTCCGCCTCTTGCCAGCATAGCATAGCTCAGGCCTCTTGGGATTGGAAGAAAGAAATTGTGTGTAACACACACCGCTGAGAGAACAACCGAGTCGTGGTTCCGAATTCACGTAGGCCTTGCTTGCCACAACTTCCATGAACAGACTGAATTTATTGTCTGCAACAAGCGCCGTGCCCCTCAAGCCGGTTGAGATCTCATGGTCCTCATGGTCTACTTACATTTACATGTATCATGTATCCTACATTCGCAGGTCATCCAAGATTTGAACACACACACACATATCTATATATATATATACACATACACACACACACACATATATATATATAACCTTGCTTGTCACGTTAATGACTGTTTTGCTTAGGCCTTTGTCCGAGGAGCCTTTGCCAAAGCACCTTCATGGCAGCGCCATGGGAGACTTTGATTCATCATTTAGCGGAGCTTTTCATCAAATTTTGATCCTGTCTTGCCAGCTGTCCTTGGTGTTGCATGGCCGTTCCAAGGTTAAGGACATACAGTTTTGTGCGCATAGGCTGCTCCACTTCGAAGTTTGACAAATCATCGTCCATCACCACAGATCATGACTGATGGCAAAAGCCACCCGAGATGGTCAAAGCAGGTTGACATGCTGGAATTTGATCATTGCCCAAACAGTTTACTGTTGGAGTTCTCTGTTAGGGAAAAGAGACGCCGGCCAGAGTCTCTGACCGCGCCCCTGCCTGAACCCTGTGTCCTGGTGTTGTCCTCTTCTTATGCTCCAGTTGTCCTCCTGCTGTCCTCTGACTGCGCTTGCCAACCCTGTCCACGCTCGCGAACCCTGCGCCCTCCTTGCGTCCTCCGCTTGTCCTCGCGAACTTCAACTTGTCCTCCTAGTCTCCTCCTGCTATCCCATGGCCGCGCTCGCGAAGCCTGTGTCCTCCTCCTGTCCTCTATCTCTAGCCATGCTTGCAAACTTTGTGTCCTCCTCTTGTCCTCCTTCTGTCCTCTGGCCACGCTTGCGAACGCCGTGACCTCCTCTTGTCCTCTTGGTGTCTGCTGGCGAACCCTATGTCCTCCTTTTGTGCACCAAACAGTTTAAGAAAGAACATAGTGTCCCCGACCGGAACTAGATCAGGAACTGGAACTGGAAGTCCCCTCCCCCCCCAAAAAATGTGATAGCAATTGAAATGCAGTTCGAGAAGTGGAACTGGATCCGGATCTAGCACTGGAACTGGATCTGGAACTGGAAACTGGAACCCCTCCTCCCCAAAGATGGGTGACCACTGTGATCACTGGATCTGGAACTGGAACTGGATCTGGAACTGGACCCCCCTCCCCAGTGACCGCTGGATCTGGAACTGGAACTGGATCTGGAACTGGAACAGTTCCAACCACCCGGGGCACACTCTGAGAAAGAAACGGCTGGCCATGATGGCTGTGGCCGCGGCGCGGGCTTTCTTTTCCGCCTTGTTTGGAGCTTGTCTAGACGACCTTGTCCGCTGCGCTGCTGCGGGCTGCATTGTCTCCGTTCAGGCTTTGTCTGAGTCGTCTTGGCCGTGCCGCCTTGTCCAGGCCTTGTCCAAGTCTTGTCCGTGTCTGTCTGTCCTGCTTCGCGTCGTTGGCCCTTTTACCACCGCCTTGTCCAGCCACGTTTGCTGCTTGGCCACGTCGCTCCCTTTCTCCACCGTCTTGTCTGGGTATGTTTTCGCATGCGGTGCTATGAATTCAACAGTGGCGCAGCGCTTCAAATTTGACATTGTCCTCGGATTTTCTCCCGACATATATTGTTGTTGCACATGTGACCAGGGAATCAAGAACCATTATTGATCTCTCAGGGAAAAAAGATGCTGGCCACAGTCTTTGGCCGCGCCCCTGAACCCTGTGTCCCGGACCTGTAGGCATGTGTTTTGTCTGAGTAGAATCACAGTTGTTCTTTCCTCTTATCGGCAAGGATGATTATACTGGCGGGCTGTTGCCAAAAGTCATTCATGGTGGGGATGATGGTCCTTTATTTGCTCAGCGCTGGAAAGGGATTTGGCTGCACAGCTGCACTCTTTTTGGTCAGTGACAGTGATTCATTTTTCCCTGTTCTTTACGACCACGAGGCATGCTTTTCTATCACAGCCACATTTGTTTGCCGAACTGGGTTATCTATGCGGCATTGGTGTGTCTCGGCTTTCCACCTGGCAGAGTTTGTCGGCAGCTGATGGCTGTGCCATGACTGCCCCGCCAAACAATGGCTGTGCAGGTTGTTTCCTTTTGCTGCAACTGCCCGGCATATGGGCTCCTGGCAATCCTTGGTTTGGATCAATGTGGCCACTCTGATGGGAACTGTTCTGCCTGGTTCCAAGGCCAGCACTGTCAGCACCACAGTAGTCAGGACATGTTCTTGATTTCTTTTCATGGTTTGCCGTCTTTTGTCTCCGGTCGATTTGCTGAGGATCCCCCTGGGATACTATGTCATTAACGGCACACAGGAGATTAAAGTTCCAGGGAGCGAGGTGGAGATGTTTAGTGAACTGTCGTACGAAGCTGAGTGCTGAGAATTTGAGCTTCAGCTGTTTACAGACGTCCCAGAAACTTGGTTGCTGAAGTGAATCCGTACTTCCCCCAGCTCGTGACTTGCACTCCAGATGTTGCCCGAAGCAGCAAAAGCGGCCTCGAAGCAGAAGTCACGAAAGCTAGCCTTAGCTAGCTGAAGTTGCTCTTGCTTTAGCAAGTTAAATGACGGGGTGGACGCGCCTCAGAAACCTCAAATAATTGATTAAATCAATCTTATGGACCCCCCCGCCTCTGGAGGTTCAACTCCCCCCTGCGCGCGGTGAGCGGGTGGAAACAAATTAGCTGCTGCTGCTGCTGTAGCTGCTGCTGCTGCTGCTGCTGGGTCTGCTGCTGCTGCTGCTGCTGGGTCTGCTGCTGCTGCTGCTGCTGCTGGGTCTGCTGCTGCTGCTGCTGCTGCTGCTGCTGCTGCTGGGTCTGCTGCTGCTGCTGCTGCTGCTGCTGCTGCTGCTGGGTCTGCTGCTGCTGCTGCTGCTGCTGCTGCTGCTGCTGGGTGGTCTGCTGCTGCTGCTGC